GTGTCTTAAAATAGCAGCACAATGTAGTGCAGATTCCTTTTTTTCTCCTTCTGAGCACAGTGATTTGTGCTTAGATCCTCAGCTACGATACTGCTGGACAAGATTTGTGTTTCTAAAGCTTATCCACTCCAAACTTTATTTCTAGCCTCTAAAAGGCAAAATATAGGAAATGCCTTTCATCATAGGGAATGCCCACAGGGGGCATTCTTTGGCTGTTTTTCACAAAAATCAACAATCCTCAATTATCACCTTTTCAGTGAGTAGCAATTCCAAGTAAATATTTAAAACATAATTTTGATATACAAAAAGTCAGAAAATAATATCTTGAATAAAATATTAGGTGATTAGATATTTGAGAAGAATGAGAGAATATGACAACTAGTGTATATGAGATTCTAAAATGTGAAGGAAAACAGCAGGAGTATCTAAAGTCTGGTGGCATAGTGTGATATTAACACTAGGTATTTATTATGTAAAGGAGGGAATGCATAGAGCTTAAAGTATTAAACTTACTTTTCACTAAAATGTTTCCTTAAATTTCTAAATTAGCAGTGAAATTGTATTTATTCTTCCTTTTTTTTTTTTGACAGCCTGTAGGAACTTTATTTTCCTTCCACCTGTTTTCCCTTTGCTCAAGACCACTCAGTGGTGGCTCCAACCCACTCTGTGGCCTGCGCTGTGGGAACTGCTGACCAATCCTCAGCGGCTGAGCTGAACACTCCAGTCTTCAGTAGGGAACTGCTGGGTGGGCACCGAGGGCACCTGCACACCCTCAGACCAGTCAGCCACCTCTGGCTGAGCAGCAGTGAACTCAGGAGCTGGTGCAGTCCATTCGCCCTGAAATTCCTCCTTGGTCACGGCCTTCTCAGCAGCAGCCTGTTCTTCCTTCTCAATCTCCTCTGGGTCTCTGTTGAAGTAAAGGTCAGGCATAACCTCCCATGGGTGCTCACAGGAGACAGTGCCACATATGCGGAGTACTTCCTGGGCCAGCATCCACCACATCAGGCCCACTGACTGAGCTACCTTATTGTTGCACTGGATGACGATGTCCACGTAGCGCAGAGGTGAGTTTGTGTTACACAGGGCAATGGTGAGCAGATTCACGTAAGACGCCTCTGTGAGGGGCTGATGGTCAGTCCTGGGATCGGTCACCACTAGAAGCCTGGATCTGGATTTATACCACATAGTATTTTTTTGCATGTTTTGTTTTTGTTTTTTGCATGACTTTTGGGTTTTGGTTGGTTGGTTGGGTATTTAGGCTTAATAAAGGATCCAGAGCTCATCAGACCACTGTAATTTTCCTAGATACTTCAGTTCTACTGAGGTTTAGATGTCTTGGGAATGGCAATGCTATATAACCTGTATCTGGGTGAGTTCAGGATCGGTCCCTGAAGGCTGCCTGGATCTGGTTAGTGAAGATCCCTTGGGTGAAACGGCCAGCGATCGGAGTGGCTCCAGTGGCAGCAGCAAATTTCAACACTGCTCGCTGCCCGGGGTTCCTGGAGATGACGCTGACATCAGCAGGGTTCTCAACGGCAACAATAGCCCGAGCTGCAAGCAACAGCTTCTCCCAGGTCCTCTTCCGATTGATGATGTAGATGCCATCGCTTTTCCTTTTGTAGATGTACTGCTCCATCTGAAAGTTGAGGTTGGTGCCACATAAGTGGGTGCCTGCATTCTTATTTAGATTCTCTAGGATCACGAATTACAGGCTCAAAGACCTTTAATTATGACTAGAATCCACTTATGAGTGAGTACATACCATATTCCTCTTTTTGGGTCTGGGTTACCTCACTCAGTAAAGCGTTTTCTATTTCCATCCATTTGCATGCAAAATTCAAGATGTCATTGTTTTTTACCGCTGAGTAAAACTCTAATGTGTATATGTTCCACACCTTTTTTAACCATTCTTTTATTGAGGGGCACCTAGGTTGTTTCCAGGTTCTGGTTATTACAAATAGTGCTGCTATGAACACAGGACTTAACTCCCTAGGTCCAAATGAGAAGCAGAAGGAGGGAAAACATGAACAAGGAAGTCAGGATCAGAGGGAACCTTCATCCGCCGATGGATGGAGATTGAGACAGAGACCCACATTGGAGCACTGGACTGAGCCCCCAAGGTCCAAATGAGGAGCAGAAGGAGGGAGAACATGAACAAGAAAGTCAGGACCGCGAGGGGTGCGTTCAGGCCACAAGGGAACTGATCTAATGAGAGCTCACCAAGGCCAGCTGGACAGGGACTGAACGAGCATGTGATCAAACCGGATTCTCTGAATGTGGCTGACATGGGGTTGTCTAAGAAGCCATTGATAATGGCACTGGGACTTGTTTCATCTGCATGTACTGCCTTTTTGGGATCCTAGTCTGTTTGGATGCTCACCTTCCTAGACCTGGAGGGAGGGGGGAGGAACTTGAACTTCCCACAGGACAGGAAACCCTGACTGCTCTTAGGACTGGAGAGGGAGGAGTAGAGGGAGCGGGGGAGTGGGAGGGTATTGGGAGGAGGGGAGAAAGTGGAAATTTTTATAAATTAATAAAAAAAAACAGGAAAAAAAATAAGTGGGTGCCTTCAGCGAGGAGTTTGAGTACATCCTCCTCCTTCATCTGCAGGACATCAAGGGCTCTGGACATTGTGTAAGTTTCCCTTTTAAGTTACGTCGGGAACCAAGAACAACGCCATATGGACCTGTTCCGGGGCAGCGTGGAAAGCTATTCTTCCTTATTTTGTGCAAATAAAATAAACACATTGTTTCAGAAAGATATATGCACTCCTATATACAGTATTTATCTATAGTCTCTTGTTTTTCTGAAAAAAATTTATTTCCTTGTGCACACTTAGATAATAATTAATATTATAACAGTTTTATTCTGCTATGGTTCAATGTAATTATATTCCAACAAATTTATTATGAACTTTTATATTTTTAGTTCATGTTCATTTTCAGTGTCAAACACATGGACTAGTGAATTTGCTAACGTATTTGTTCAAGTGAGTATGTGGAGCTTCTCTGTGTTCAATTGCCTATTGCTTTCAAATGTTATTTAATATCCCATCATACTTTCTCTCTGGTAAATTAAATATCTGTTATTTTTGCTACTAATTGTAATTATTGCTCTATGAATATCCTGTAGTTTACGGTGCCTTCAAATAATGGCCAAGATGGATAGCTGCTGTCTTCACATTTATTTACAGAGAAAATTAGGGTCTTTGTTTTATTTCAACTGTTGTAGTTAATACATGTGTTAATGTGGTTAATGTGGTTAAGACTCTGGTCCTGAACTGGCCAACCCTGTAATTGTCAGATGGATGACTACCTTAACTGTCATCATAGAACTTTTATCCAGTAAATGATGGAAACAGATGTAGAAACCCACAGCTAAGCACTGGGCCTGTGGTGTGGGAAGTCCTTTTGTGTATGCGTTATTTTTATTTTTAATAAATAAAAAATCTGCTTTGGCCTATGAAAGCAGAATAGAGCTAGGTGGGAAAGCTAAACTGAATGCTGGAAGAAATTAGGATTAGGCAGAGTCAAAGAGATGCCTTGTAGCTACCAGAGTAGAAAAACGCAAGCCACGAGCCAGAACTTTGCTGGTAGTCTCTTATTAAAATAAAAAATAATAGGAATGGATTAATTTAAGCTGTAAGAGCTAGCTAGTAATACGCTTAAGGTATTTGGCAAAACAGTATTCCAAATAATATAGTTTCCGAGTGACTATTTCGGGTATGGGCAGCTGGATACAAATGAGCAGCCTCTATAACACTCCTCAAGTCCAGCTGAAGCAAGGGAGGAGCAATAATATGAACAAAGTGATCAGGACCGTGATGGAAAAACCCACAGACATGAGATAGTGGGAGTTCATTGACTGGACGACAGCTGGGACCTAATTAGGTCCTCTGAATCCTGGTGACGGTATGGCTTGGGAAGTTTGTGGGCCCACTGGCAGTGGCCTGAAGATTCATCCCTAGTGTATGAACTTGCTTTTTGGAGCCCATTCCCTGTCGAGGGATACCTTACTCAGCCTAGATACAGGGGGAAGGGACTAGTTTTTCTTTAAGTTGATGTGACAGACTTTGCTGACTCCCATGGGAAGATTACACTCTCTGAGAAGTGGATTGGGGGTGGAATGTTATAAGGCATGGGGAGTGGGAGGATGGGAGGGAAGGAGAACTGGGACTGGTATGGAAGATAAAATATTATTTAAAAAAACTCTCTGGTACTCTTTTTTATATGTACAGTGAAGATACTTAATATTTACATGTTACAGGATTATTTCTGGTGAGAGAAGAAATGCAATAAAAAGGAAATCTAATCTCTCAGACTGTCAGATTCTTTCTTTTTCAATTGCTACTAATCATAAGAGAAAAATTATTTTCATATCATACCTGGCACCAGTTTAGGTGTTTTCTATAGGGTATTCCTCTCTGTCTATCTCTCTGTGTATTTATCCATCCATTTATCAGAGAAAATTGGAGATATATGTATACAAATGCAAGAAGTTTAAATATTCTTGATCAAAATCAGACATCTTAAATATGAAACTTCGCCTTGGAACCCAAATGACTGAATTAGTGTGATAACCACAAGGAATAATATATTGACATGTAGCATTCTTTATTTCTCAGTTTTAGAAAAATGTGCTGAATTGATATAATTATATAGAAGTCTGGCTCTATTTGTTTGTTGTATGAACAAGGATCATATCGTTTATCTTCCTGTTTTATGTATTAACATATAATTGAATGTTTTTTAACTGTTATGAATATATATGTTGTAACAAAGATGAAAATAGTGCAGAAAATACTGTGTCCTTATTCTAGTATTGTTCTGAAAAAGATATATGCTGAGTAGAATTCACCATTACCTTGATTGCAAAAATTGCAATGATAACCATCACTAAAGATGTCTTGACTTAACATTTCCATTGTAGCTTCAGATACTTATGAGTTCTCTAGTTCATGGGAAAATTATAAAGAACTGGCCTAAGCTGCTTATATTATGTTAATGAAGGGTCTTGTCTAAAGACAAGATTTGGATAACTCTCTCTTGAATTTGCTTAGTCTTCACGCCATAAATGATGGGATTGACTGTGGGTGGTACAACCACATAGAGGTTAGCAAGGAGAATGTGCACATGCAGTGGTATACTGTGACCACCAAAACGGTGAGCAAGGAAAGAGAAAAAAGCTGGTGTATAGAACAAGAGAATTACACAGACATGGGAACCACATGTACCCAGAGCCTTGAGTCGGGCATCCTGAGAAGGAATTCTAAAGACAGCACGAAGGATAAGGACATATGAGACAATGATAAGTACCACATCTAGGCATATGGAAAACAGAGCCACAACAATCCCATAGTAAATATTGACCTTGATGCTGTCACAGGCCAACCTGGCAATGCCCATGTGTTCACAGTAGGAGTGTTGAATGATGTTCCTCCCACAGTAGGTGAGCCGATAAACAAGGAAGATCAGGGGGAAGCAGATGAAGAAGCTTCTAGTCACAGATGCAATGCCCATTCTGTTGATGACAGATGAGGTTAGGATGTTGGTGTATCTTAGTGGATAGCAGATAGCCACATAACGGTCAAAGGCCATGGCGAGCAATATACCAGACTCTGTCACAAAGATGAAGTGAAGAAAAAACATCTGGGACACACAGCTAGCAAAAGAAATGCCCCCAGCCTGAAACCAGAAGATTGCTAATACCTTTGGAACAGTTACTGTGGACAGGAAGACATCTGCCAGGGCCAACATTGAAAGGAAAAAGTACATGGGTTCGTGAAGACTACGCTCAGTGGAGATCAGCAATATTAGCAATATATTGCCTGCAACAGCTACTATGTACATTGAACAGATGGGGATGGAGAGCCAAATGTGTGCATCTTCGAGTCCTGGGATCCCAATCATGGTGTACCAGATGTCTCTGAGATTGGTGTAATTTAAAGACATTGAAGATGTCATCCTTTACTCTGCTGTTTAATACTGGAGAGAGTGATGGAAAAAAATCATGAACCACGGTTAGTTTTTTGCTTAATTTATTGAGAAAGTAATTTAGAAATTGCCTGAGAAAGAATTATCAAAAAAGAAAAATAAAAAAATGGAAATGATTTTAAAATCATTCATAGCAGATAATAAAACAGGAACATTTTATGACCAAAGAAATAAACTGAAATTTTATAACATTTGTATTACTGGCAATGGTGAAATCTGCAATATTTGTAGAAAATTTACACATACTTAACATGGATTCTAGAAACTGTTCTCAACACTTTATGAAAATGAAAGTCTCTGAAAGGCTTTTATCTGATTGATGATTTCTAGTGATTCATCATTATTCTCTTTTCTGTAGTTTTGGAAAGTAGTCAGGCACTACTATCTGGTCATTGGGAAGATGAGCTTGAGACTGGTGCCTTAGATCATTTGGCTATTCTGATATAATAAGTCATGTCCTTTTGGATATTAAGACTACTTAGTCAATGACAGCCAACCTCCACATTTTAATAGGAAACATTTCATCAAGGAGTTGCTCTTTCTTTTCTTTAGCAATTTGTGTGGAATGAAAGAAAACCAAGACTGTAGGTACACTCACTGCGTGCAATGCTGCATTAGCATAGCGTTGTGATGTGATTTTACTACTATAGATTTGTTTCTCATGGTTGCAATCTGCATGTCTTTCTGGTAAACACCCGCTAATCCTATTCTAGCAGTTCCCCTTGTTTTCCTCTCTTGCAAATGTCGTACTTGTACCACATGTCCCTCATATCCCGTTTTTAAATCTTTTTTGTGCATTCCCGTATGAGATTTTATTTTTCTTAATGTTATAATATTTCCTTTCTATTTGTATTATTATCACCATCATCTATCAATGTCTTCAGTGTTGTTGTGTTGAATTGGAGTTGAATTAAAACTATCAAAGCCACCGTGAGTAACATGTGAAAGAATTAATGAGGCACAAGCTATCTTATGTCGATAAGTACTGGCAATGTGAGGTTTTAAAGAATAGAAAGTTACCAAGCACAAAACTTGAAGAGCATCATCTTTCAAGCATAGAAAAGTAGAACTGGACAGAATCCCATGATCTTGGGAAATTTCCCTTTTCTTGGCTTGGACCAAAGAAATGAGTTATTTGTGATTTTGCAGAAACAATGGTGAGCAGACACTTAAAGAATTAAAATTATATTATGGTAAGTGAAATCAAAGAAAGTGGTTTTCTGTGTCTATTGAGACAAAATAAAATCCAGAAAGCAAAAGACCATATAGAAGATTTAAAAAACTTCATATTAGATCTAGATCTTTTAATAAAACAAAAGCAAATATCAACTTCAAATAGGTTTGAAAATAATATGGATTCAAAAATATATAAAATCGATTTTAAAAAGAGTTTTAGAGTACAAAATATATATTAATAAATCTTTATCTATTAGTAGTGAAAGATGTAGAATACGTGATACAGAAGTTTGTCTTTTCTGGGTAGTGTCTTCCTTTAGACCCAAGACTGCCTTGGAGTCACTTTCCAAATGCTGAGATTATGGTGTTTGCAAGAGTACACAGTCTGAGAAGGATTTTTAAAAAATATAACTGAGGACCTTTCAACAGATTATATAGGTTCATCTAAATGTCAGCAGTTTTCCTGCTTCAATGATTGCTCCCTTCAGGATGCAGGAACAGTCCAGTGTAGTGATAATAGCTCTCAGAACAGAAAACGACAGCTCTCCTACAGTTAAAGTGCATGCCAGGTGTGCTAGCAAATCACTCTGCAAGATGGTGCAATACACGTGAGATAGCAGACTTGCTTAGAGCACACTTTGTTCCTGTTCACGTGATACAAGTTAGGTACATTATTCTTTGTCTCAATACTTACAATCTGTTCTTTCTATGATCCACAGTTAAGATTCTGAGGTCATACTGTCATGTCTTGTGTTCACCCTAGTAATTTATATTTGACGTATTATATTTTTATTAATCTGTATTCATATGTATCTCAGAGAGAAAAAGACATTTTGATAATAGAGAATGTCTCAGACAACCCTTAATTAAAAGAAGCAGAGATGGCGTGATACTCACAGTGCTTAATTTCGGCTTAATTCCTTACCTCAGTCATTAGCCATGACTTAAATATCACTAATAAACTACAAATTACATCTTATCACTTTTCTCTGTAATAATTAATGCTTACCCTGATCATGAAAATGATTCACAACAGGATTTGGGACTATGTTCATCTTCAACCAGGCAAGAGAAGGCAAAAGTAAATAACTGTTAGGAAACCTGTGGTATTCTCTGCAGTCTATTGTATATGAATTTGTTACTTAAAATGAGTAAAGTTCATTTTTTACTTCTAATTACATCAATTATATGACGTATATTTCTAATTACATCAATTCTAAGCTCTTTATTTCTGTTTTACATATTACATTGCTTTTAAACTCTCATAAAATCTCTACCCTATCTCCAAATATTGCATTACCAGAAGATTTTTTAAATCAAATACAATGTATCATGATAAATTTTTGCAATCACAGCTCTTGTTTTCCTTGACCACTACACCAAGGCTCCTTAGTGTTTTTTTTTTTTCATTTCTGCCATAACAAAGTGAGGCAAACTCCTGTTGGACTTCATTTCTAAGGCGGATTGTAAATTTGAAAGTTGAAAGGAAAAAGGAAATTATAACATTGTCAGGTATCATTCCTCATTTGTAGGGTACCTTCTAGCAATACACCTTGTTTTCCTCTCTTGCAAACGTCATACTTGTACCACATGTCCCTCATATCTCGTTTGTAAATCTCTTTTGTGCATTCTCGTATGTGTTTTTATTTTACTGTTGATTTGAAAATTTTTCTTAATGTTAAAATATTTCCTTGCTATTAGTATTATTATCACCATCATTAATCAATGTGTCTTCAGTATTGTTGTGTTGAATTGGAGTTGAATTAAAACTATTAAAGCCACCGAGAGTAACATGTGAAAGAATTAATGAGGCACAAGTAATCTTATGTCAACAAGTACTGATAATGTGAGGTTTTAAAGAACACACAGTTACCAAACAAGAGACTTGAAGAGCATCATCACTCAAGTATAGGAAAGCAGAACTGGACAGAATCAAAGGATCTTGGGAAATTTCCTTTTTCTTGGCTTGGATTAGAGAAATGAGTTATTTGTGATTTTGCAGGAACAATGGTGAACAGACACTTATAGAATTAAAATTATATTATGGCAAGTGAAATCAAAGAAAGTGGCTTTCTATATCTATTGAGAAAAAACAAAATCCAGAAAGCAAAGGACCATATAGAAGATTTTAAGAAACTTCATAGTAGATCTAGATCTTTTAATAAAACAAAAGCAAATATTAGCTTCAAAGATGTCTGAATATTTTATGGCCTCAAAAAGAGATAAAATCGATTTTAAAAAGTGTTGTAGAGTAAAAATATATATTAATAAATCTTTATCTATTAGTACTGAAAGATCTAGAATATACGATACAGAAGTTTGTCTTTTCTGAGGTAGTATCTTCCTTTAGACTCATTTTTTACTTTTAATTACATCAATTATATGATGTATATTTCTAATTACATCACTTCTAAGCTCTTTATTTCTGTTTTATGTATTACTTTGCTTTTAAACTCTCATAAAATCTCTTCCCTATCTTTAAACATTGCATTGCCATTGGATTTTTTTAATCAAGTACAATGTACCATGAGAAATTTTTGCAATCACAACTCTTACTTTCCTTGCCCACTACACCAAGGCTCCTTATGTGTTTTTCTTTCATTTCTGCCATAACCAAGTGAAGCAAACTCCTGCTTCACTTCATTTCTAAGGTGGACTTAAATAAGAAAGCTGAAAGGAAAAAGAAACCTACAACATTGTCAGGTATCCTTCCTCATTTGTAGGTTACCTTCCAGGGACTGAGTACTAATGAATGGAAGATTGATAGGTAACATTATGCTTGCTTTCTGTATGTTTATCTCCATATTGGAAACGGCACATCATTCATATTCTGAGCTAATTCTCCCTCATCAAAGTTATTCATTTAGAATGATATAAAACACTTTTCAAGGAAACTTGGGTTGGATCAAAGAGTATTGATTCAATCTGTTCAACTACAACTATTGATAGCTCATATTATTTCAATAACTGAAGATAGACTTCATTCCCCAACCTTGGGTCAACTAAAACAACAGGCATGATATGGCAGACCCATAGCCTCTCCCATCTGAATTAGGATGCACTCAGTCTGAAACAAGTAATCAGAAGATATCTTCTGAAGGCAGCAGCCATCAACTCTCAAGTATGGAGAAGAGTTTGTTGTTACCTCCTCTAAGCTGCAGCTCTGGTCTCCCAGATGTTCTGTGTGATAGGTTTTCTCTCCTTAGTCCAGGGGCTGGTCATACAGCTTTTACAATCCCAAGAGATTCAAGACTCAGTGGAGTTGAGGAATACAAGAAAGGATATACAGTCCCGCGAGTACTTTAATTAAAGCAAAATAGTCAAGCAAATGAACAAACTGACTGAAAACTAAAGACACATTGAGTGTATAAATAGAGTGAGAAGAGCATTATTCTGAGACAACATGAACAGACTAACAAAAACTCTATCAAAGGCAGCAACCCACACTATAGCAGCTTTAAATGGAAATACAAAGAAAGACCAGAATTTGTTGCAGCAGCAACTTATAAGATGTTTGAGTTTTGTGAGAATGTGCTTATTTTATTGTGTTATAAATCTACAGTGTACTAATTTTCAGCCTCCTGAAAAAAATTAATTACCCACTGAGGTGGAAATATTATATAATTTATCATCATCTGTCTCCTTTTTTGTGTAAGAACTAATCTGAGAGTTGATTGCCTAAAGGCAAGTGCTGTGCTTTCAATCACACAAATATTCACCATCCAGGAATTTTAATGATTCTTTCTTGTGTTAAATCTGAGTCAACTATTTCTATATACATGCCTAACTAATGTTTTTCCTGTTCATAATTTAGTTTAAGAACAGATATGTAGGAAAAGACCCTGCACTATCCATCTGAATGCCCTTAGCACATC